AATGTTTCTCTGCTATGCATAGAGTTTTCAGTGACTAGCGATTCGGAAGTAGTTTGTCACTCTTTCTTCCTAGTCTGTCTTTGTTTTGTAGCTCATCTGAAACCTTTCCACCATGGGTGACCCTGCTGGTTATTTAAAACACGGGCAGCATAGCCCTCAGAATCACAGCAACTCAAACAACCACAGCACGACAGACAGACGAGTGGTGGCCTCCATCAATCTTCCCCATTTTGGTCTCTTCATTTTTTTCTACATTATCTTTATTGAGTACATACTATGCATCTGGAACTGTTTTTGTTTAATAACATGAATACCAATAAAGTACCATTTTGTCTGTTTTATGTGGTGGTGGTTGTTAAGTGTCAAGTCGGTTCCAACTCATAGCAACTCTGTAAAGGGTTTCCAATGAGTGGCTGATGAGTCTGAACTGCCCAAACTTGTGGTCCAGTGCTTATCCTACAGCGCCATACCAGGACTCAGTTTTATGTGGTGGTGGTGGTGGTGGTGGTTATGTGCTGTGGAGTCAGTTCCGACTCATAGTAACCCTGTACAGGGTTTCCGAGGCTGGAAACCTTTACGGGAGCAGAAAGCCTCAGCTTTCTCCCGCTGAGCAGCTGGTAGTTTCAAACTGATGACCTTGCGGTTCACAGCCCAATTCATAACCACTACACTACCATAGCTCCTTTTATGTGGTAGAGTTTCATTAAAAAGAAAACACCCTTTTTTGAAGTGTCTCCAAAAGTAGTGTAGTGGGTAAAAACATGAACTTTGGGGCCAAACACACCTGGGGTCAAATCCCAGCTCTAACACTTCAATAGCTGTGTGACCTTAGGGAAGGCATGTTCCCTCCCTAAAACTCACTTTTCTTATCTGTATAATGTGCATCATAATCCTGAACACATAGTTCTGTGGGTTACAGGTAATATTGAATTTCCATTTTATAGATTTTAAACATATTAAGTATGTACTGAGCCCTTACTATATGTAGTGCTTGTCCGAGCTCTAGTGAAGAACCTGAGGCTCTGAGGCTACCAGGTGTATTGATGGTGAATAGAGGACTGGGACCCAGGATATCCAGTCCTTGGGCTCTTTCGTCTTCTTGTCTGCAGAGCTGCATATATGAGGGACACCATCACCATGCTGCCCTGACCTGGCCTGGGCATCTGTGTGCAGGGCCCAGTCAGCTTGGCTTTCAGCCCACCCCTCTTGCTGTGAGATAAAATACACAAAACCCTTAAGCCCCTAGCCAGAGCGCAGATTCTATGCCCTCCCCCATACTCATTTCAGGTCATTCAGTTCCAGGGAAAAGCAGGGATTTAGGGATCAAAACCCAAGGGAAAGTAGGTCAAAGCAGGAGGATGGTAAGAGTGGCTCCAGGAAGAGCCTTGAGGTCTGGAGCAGCACCACCATCCCTCCCACAGTAGGTCCAGGAGGAAAGGGCTGCCCCATGTTTATGCACCCTCTACACACTGGGGCTATCTCAGTCCAAGTTCTTGCTGACTGGAATGCTTCCTATGCTGGACTTACAGGATTTATTTTTCATTCCACACACTTCCACAAGTATAACTTTTATACCCAGTTCTAGGCTGAGAGCTGAAGACACAATGAAAACTCTGACAGGTCTTGCCCAATGGGGAATATTGACCCTGATTCAGACAGTAGCAAGTCACTGCTATCATTGCTGAGAGAGGAGAGATCCTGGGTGTGGACCTATTGTTGTTGTTAAGTGTCGACTCACAGTGACCCTGTATAGAGTTTCAGAGGAGCAGCTCGTAGGTTTGAACCACCAACTTTGCAGTTCAATTCGACCAGTGCTTCATCTTAAAGTGCCACAATACAGGAAGCATCTTATTTAGCCTGGGTTAGAAAAGTCCCTGGTGATGCTGACAAAGAGTAAGCATTTCCTAGGTGGAAATGGGGAGGGTATTTTGAGCACAAAGAACAGCTATACAAAGACTCAGAGGTATGAAAGGATGACCTTTCCTTCTGGAAAATTCTGTTGGTTCAGAGTATACTATTCAAAGGGGCCAGATCTGGGAGGAGCTTTTCCTGAACTTTATTCTTTAGGTGATGTGAGAAGATAGATGATGAGTGGTTGGAAAACAGAAGTGGGTAGCTAAAGCACTGGAGCACAAACAAGGTCAATAGAGAGGCATTGAGGCATCTGAATCAGCAAAAATGGGAGGGCATTTCAAAAGCATACATAAAGTATGGCTCCTAGACACAGGGATTAGAGGTATTTGGAGGCCTCTGTCACCCTGGGGCCAAAGCAAGGTTCTCATCAAAACTTACTCTGTCCTGGAGGACAGAGTGGTGGTGGTGATTATGTGCCGTGGAGTCGGTTCCAACTCATAGTGATGCTGGATAGGGTTTCCAAGGCTGTAAATCTTTATGGGAGCAGAAAGCCTCATCTTTCTCCCACGGGACAGCTGGGACTCTAGCCCAACACTTCTCCACCACCATCACCTGCTGATCTTGCATCCTTGTCTCCTATCTCTCCCTTTGTAAATGCTTCTTCTTAGAACCTTCCCCTGACTCTAAGGAATGGGAAGATGGCCATACTATGCCTCCACAGAGGGGAGTTGCAGGAATGAACTAAGCTGCCAACCTAGTTGATTTCTTGTAGTCAAGGAGAAGGAGCTTAACATTAGGATCTATTTTTCAATTTAGAAAGCAAAGAATAAAGTAGCAGGAGTGAGAACAGAAGCTAGTAAGAACTCCATGGTAGTGTCCACATAAGTTATGGGGTGGTGGTTTAGAATAGGGTCTTGGAGGTAGTGGCAAAGAGTACAGGACTGATTAAAAGATTAGACTCCTGCTTCCTTCAAGATTCTATTCTGCTCATGCTGATTCTTGCCCTTACTCTCCACCAGGGTGAGCAAGAGGTCCTCAGACACTTTATGCCATCTTGCCACTGCTTCAGAAACCCTTCTGAGATTGTTTTGACTTCATGTAGAACCTCTTCTCAAAGAACAAGCTTGTGAAGGGCAGAGATCAGAGGAACCCTCATTGTACCACCTACAGTTTCTGTAGCTCCAGGTCATATCAGGGATTTAAATGTGGACTCCAACACGGGCTCCCACCTTCTGGAACAGCCCCCCCTCAAATGGAGCAGGATTCCAGAAGGTGAGAGGATGCAGTATAGAGTTTGAAGGCTGAAGTGTTAGTCAACAGAGGGAGGAGGTGAGATGGTGAGGAGCCCAGAGGCTAGAAGGAAGTGGGGGAGGGGAGAAGACAAGCAGGGGTTGGACAGAGATTAAGGAAAACTTCACCACTTCACCTCGATTGGAGGGGCCTGGATAGGAGTGCAGGGCTGAGGACTCTGGCCCTATCAACCCTGTTTCTCCTCACCACCACCCTGACCAACCTTGGAGGGCTGTGTGTTCCTTCTGGTAGATCTGGGTCTCCATGGACGCTCTTGGGAGCTGCACGTAATGGAAAGCTCACCACGGGGAAACCAGTTGTTTGTGAGATTGAGTCCCTAGTGGCGGTTCTTAGCCCCGCCCATAACAGGGATCAATCTTGGGGATCAGCTTCCCTCCACCCCTAAAGCCAGTAGACAGGAACTGGTTTAAAAAAAACACACAAAGGCATACCTCGCTTTGGAAAGTTTGCTTTAAGGATAGAAGTACATTAGTACTTGTTTTCACTAACCTGAAAGAAATCCCAAGTGGATTTCTCTTTTGTGAAAACCAGAATACAGAGATTGTTTTGCAATAAACAGGCAGCTAAAGAGACAAAGTACCAGCCTCGTAGCATCATCCACCTCTTTCCCTGGGAACCACACACAGTATCTCCCATAGCTTTGAACTGTGTGTGTGAACATTTTATGTTAGTATTATTTTAGGTTTTATCTATTTAGTATAATATGGTGAATTAATTTTTGGGTCTGTGAACACCAAAAATAAATTTTCCCATATAAAAAGTTTTTTCTCCATATAAATTAGTGATAATTGATTCTCTGCTTGATACCATTTCAGCGTATGAAAAGATTCATAGGAACACTGTACTTTTGGATAATGGTGGAAACCTGTACCTTTTAATTAGAGCTGAGCCTGTGCTGCAGAGCCCCAATGGTTGCCCCCTGGTTGGGCTGTAGGGGGATGCTTATTGGAGCTGGTGGCTAGGCCAGAGGACCCAGGAGGCAGGCGAGCGCCAGCCCGGCTGCCAGTAGCGGAAGGGTGGGGGCCGGGGTAGACAGGGGCGTAGAGGCCCTCAATGTCTCCTGGTTGGTTTCGCGGTCCTCGCCGTGCTCTGGAACACGCACAGAGGCGCCGCAGAGATTGTGCAAGTTATCTGGGTGTGGGGCCTGGCGAGCCTCTTGTTGCAGCGATTCCCACACAGCAGCAGCCTCCTCTGGGCAGCCGGACAGGACCAGCGAAGCGCAGACATGAAAGTCATTCCAGGACCTGTGAAGGTTGTAGGGTTACGGGGAATTAGGCAAAGCGAAGAGGGTGGCGGGGATTAGGCTGGCACCCTCGCACAGCCCCTTACCTGCACACTGTCTCCAGCTCACCTCCATGGCCCATGCTGTCCCCCAAGCGGATGAGACACTTGGCGAAGCCCTGGTATATAGTGTCACAGCGGCCGGGGACCACAGCAGTTGCTGCAAGGGGAGGTACAGGGAGTGGGGGTTGGGTAAGGAATGAACCAGGCCAGCACCCCGCAGTCTCGGGGGGCTTGTTACTCGCAGTGCTTGGAGACATGACTCAGCGTGAAACGGACGCCCCTGGGAACTGAGGGTCATGTCTGGGGATCACCTGCTGAGCCCCCTTGGAGATAGGACCTGAATCCAGATATAGGGTATGTATGTGGAGGGGGGAACATCACATCTTTGGAGTTGGCTCTTCTTCTGCCCTTCTGGTACCCCAAGTCAGGTGAAGGTGGTCCAGGTGAAGGAGCCAGGGCGTGGTGGAAGGGTGTGGTGTTCTGGTACCCTAGCCAGAATCCAATCTCCCTACAGCTTAGATGAGCTTCCCGAGGCTCACCCACCCAGTCCCCAAAGTGTAGGTCAGACAGAATATGGGTCAAAACCAGGCCAGACCCTCCTAGAGGACCTCATGAATCCCATGGCTGGTTTAGAAGTTCTGCCAGAAACTCTTTTTATCAGCAGGAGAACTGCACAATTTGGGGGTCCTGAACGGACTCCATAGCACATAACAACAATGACAACCCCACAAAGGAGGAATCCTAGTAAGGAAGTAGTTAAATGCTCAACTTCTCTGGTAGTGTAGTGGTTACAAATCGGGCTGCTAACCGCAAGGTCAGCAGTTCAAAACTACCAGCTGTTCTTTGGGAGAAAAGATGAGGTTTTCTGCTCCCGTAAAGAGTTGGAACCGTCTCCACGGTACTTTACAACTATTCCAAGGGTTGATTGGAACCCACCAGACACTGTGCATGAGAACTATGTAGCTGTCTGCTCCTGGGAAGATTTCAGCCTTGGAAATCCTATAAGTCAAGTCCTACTCCATCACCTAGTCACAATCTACCTGGCAGCAATGCGTTTTTTAACCCCATAGCCAGATCTCATGTCTCACCCCTTTTCATTATCTATCCTGAAGCCACTGACGCATATCAAGGCCCCACATTATACTTTCCCTGGAGCCTTCCCACTTCCTCTCTACCCAGACATCCAGGGCTCAGGAAGGCTATGTAGGAAGGTTCCTACAGACACCAGGGCAGAGGGGTGAGGGATACAGTCGCAGCTAGTGTGTCTGTTGCACTTACCGAAAGGCAGAAGCAGCAGCAGCCCCAACGCATGGGGTGGTTGGCGGTGGCGGCAGCGGCAGCAGCAACAGAGCATCTTCCGCGGCTCAGAGTCTAGTGGCAGCACTAGCAGCCTGGAGTGCAGCCCACTGGCCCAACCCCCGGAGAGAGGGGCAGTGATTGGTTGAGAGCCAAGGGAGTGGCTGTGAAGGCAGCTGGTGGCTCCACCCCCAGTGCCCAGATTGGCCAGAAAGCTAGGCGGGACACCAGAGAGAAGAGCCCAGGAGCACCAGTTGGTGTTGAGGTAACCACAGGACCTTCATTCAACTCTAATTCAACTTAAGGCTGTTCTGACCAGGTCCCAGGGGTTGGATTGGAGTTGGCCTCTACAGAGTTTTACATAGGGAGAGGGGCAGGGGATAGAGAGGGTGGTATCAGATTCATAGTGAAGACAAACCAAAAGCACACACATATTCCATTTTATTCCAAAAGCATTTAATCAATTTTTCTCAATGTTTTCAAAAACAGAAAGATCCAAATCAGAGGTAAAAAGGAACATGGAAAATTCAACTCAAGTTGTGTCAGGATCTTGGAGTCATATTCCAGGCATGACAGAGCACAAGGCAGTAAAACATTCGTCCTGGGCCCAGCGGGCTACCACAGTCTGTAGACCACGTCGGTGCCCTGTCCCCACTCATCAGGAGGTAGGGCCTGAGCAGGTAATGGCAGATATGACTTGTCTAGAACTGTCTGCTGGCCTTCAGTGACACCACATTCCTGGGCAAGGTGGACCTGGTTGCTACGGGAGGCTGGGGGCTACAAGGCCATGTAGCATGAGGCTGAGACGACGGGCCGCTTTGCCAAGTGAGTTGTGTGGCTCAGCCTGCAAAAACTGGAAGAGCTTCTGGCGCACCTGGGCCATGACAGAGCCCATGTGGTCCCGAGTGATGGGGTCACTGTGGTCCAAGTGCATCACGGCCTCCTCCAGGTAGCTGGGAGTAGAGAAAAGGGGTAAGCTACAGGTGGGCTCCAATTAATGGGAGCACTGCTTAGCGGTACAGGGAGACCTTCAAGCTGAGAAGAGTGGGAGCAAGAAGGACTTGGGGGAGTGTTTAGGAAGGGAGTCAAGTAGGAGTAGTAGTCTCTGCCTGAAACTGTCCCCCACTACCCAAGCAATTCCCTGGTCCCTAGCTTTCCGTACTCACCTGAGCTTGAGGTCAGTTCGAGTGCCAAGGTCAGAGGCTAGTTGCTGGATGAGGGAGAGGAGCACAGGCTGGGAGAGAGGGCAGGGAGGCTGCCCAAAAACCTGGCCTGGGTCCACAGTTTCACACACATACAGCACCAGGTTCAAATCTGCAGCTGTCAGGGCCTGGAGGGAAAATTGGGGGAGAGGGTCTAGAGCTAGGGTTGGGTAAAAAGCTTGCTTCTCTGTGTTCACTGTGGTCTGAGAGAGAATGATCAGAAGTAGGGTGCTGAGGACTCCACAAGGGTCCAGAGAGAGCACTGGAAGGCTGCACATTTACCTTAGGGGATCAGGAAAGGTTTCTTGAAGGAATGACTGAGGGAGGTGGGTTGAGGCAGATAGAAAGTTTAGGCAGAGAGAGCAGCAGGGGAAATAGCATAGAGAACTAAGAACCAAAAATACTTAACAGAAACCAGACTTCCCAGAGGATGCAGAACCAAGAGCAGTCAAGAATGGGATGGACTGCATGCTGTGTGGGCTTTGTCAGAAGATCCATGACCCTGTGAGTGCCCAGCGTACCTGCTGGAAGGCCTGATTGAGGTGGCCCTGCTGCAGCAGCTGTAGGATGTGTGCTTGCTGGGCCTGGCTGTCAAGGTGGGTAGCAGGGACTGGTGTAGCAGCAGCTGAGCGCATGGCTTGCATGATGCTGGATGTGACGGCAGCCTGCTGTTCTTTGAGTGCCACACTCACCTCACCCTTTACAATGCGCTGTACCTGGGCCAAAATGGATTCCTGTAGGCTGCAAAGGGAAGTAAAGGGAACTGAGGTGAACAGGAGCCCAGTCTGGCTTGGCCCAGACCCACCACTTTGCCCAGTGCTCTGCCCACACACCTGCCCACAGCCACATGCAGCTGGTGCTGCACTTCAGCCCGGACGCTGCTGGACACAGTGGCTGCCATCTGCTCGGTGGCGCCCTGTAGTGTGCTGACCAGACCTCGCAGTTGGGCCAGCACTGGCTCCCGTGCTTCTTGTTCTCGTGCCTTCCTACTCTTCATGTGGCTCTCCAGCTGCTGCAAGTCTGAAGTGTGACCATGGGAATGTCAGAGGGTGGTGGGACAGAAGGGGCAGCCTCTCCTGCCTTGGGTCACACGACCCCACTCACATTCCTGTGTGCCTAGCCGGAAGCTATCATTGATCTGCTGGAACATGGCCTGGCAGCTCTTCTCAAAGGCAGGCAGCACCACGCTCTGGAAGGCTTCGCGGTAGGCGGCCTGCATCGGTCCTTGTAACGTGTCTGCTGCTGCACGGGCTATGGCATCTGTCAGGTTCTGGGGATGGGTGCAATTGCTGAGCTGAAAGCCTGAGCTCAGCATCGTCTAGCCAGGCCCACCACCCCTGCCCTGCCACCTTGGGTGCTACAGCACCTTGGACTTGAGAAGTTTGGAGATGTTTTCTTTCATGGTACCCTCAACGGCTGTTAGCTTGGTGGCCACTGAGCTGCTCAGCTGGCCTGCCACAGGCTCCAAGCTCCTGGAGACACCTAGATCAGAGGAGAGAACAATGAAGCTATGCCCACTCCCACCTAGTCTATCCAGTAGAAATCCACATCCCAAACTCACATGGAGGCACTGTCTTCTTGATCTCGTCACGGATGCTGCGCTCCAGCCGCCCAGCCACAGCTGAAGACAGTGCCTGGGACAGCTGTTGCGTCAGCTGCTCCTGCAACTGTCCACCTCGCTGCTGCCCCTCCGCCAGTGCCCGCTCTAACCGCCGCTCTGTATCACAGCTAAGGACAGGCCTATAGCAGGTCCCACACCTATCCCTTCCCAGGCCAAGATGGCAGCCTCTACCCTATACTAGCCTGCACCACCCACATCCAAGGATACGCTCCTGCTCATGCCGAGTCTCCAAGGCTCGTTCGACGTGACCTGTGACGGTGCTCTGTAGGCCTTCCAGCTGGCTGCACACGCGCCGCAACAGCTCTTCTTGAGTGTCCCGAAGCTCTGCCAGCTCTCTTTGCTGTTGCCAAATGATTGCTGGCCAGTCCTCAGGGGGCTCTCCAACCTGCCAGGAAGCTCCCAAAGTCACAGGATATCTGACCTACCCATCTTTACCCACCATACCATGCAATGTTCTGGAACCCTCCTAGGAACAGAAACTGTGCTCAATCACTCACCAGGTGCTCCGTAAGCCGGGGTCCCACAGCTGAATTCCTGCTATGGGCAAGATGCACCTCAGGACACGCCGATAGCCTCATGGCCATCCTCTCCCTCCCCACCAGGACTCCCCCTCTACCCATCATCCTTCTTGCTCTTCCTTTTGAGCTTGGGTGAGGACCGAGGGGACCCTTTAGTCTTCCAGTCCTTGGCAGGCAGCCGTGGAGTAGGAACTTTGGTGCTAAAGCCCCCTGAGGCAGAGGCAAGGCTGGCCACTTCGTCATCATGGTCACTGTGGGAAGGGGAAGGAGGGGGAAGTATCTGCCCACTCACTGCCCGCTCCCTGCACCTGAGAAAGGGAATGGGAGTGGTGTCAGGGCCCCCACCTTTGCTCGGCACTGGCATCCTGGCTGTCATGCTGCTGTAGGAGGTGGTATGGGGGCCGGTGGAAGGCCAGGCTCTTGTGTTTCTCCTGGATGCCATTTCTGGGGCTGGGGCAGGGGAAACAGGCCAACTCAGCAGTGGAAGACTCTTCCTGCAGCCCCTCCTACCAGCATAAGCGGCCCCTTCAAACTCACCTCTCTGCCAGGCTGCTGCAGGTTTCACGGGTAATGTCAGGGGCTGTAGGCCACACCTGACTGTCAGGGGTTGCACTCTCTTGGGTCAAGGCTGCCTCCAGGAGGGAGGGAGTATTGTGTCGATCACTATCCCCAGTGGCTCCATCCAGACCAAGCTGTGGGCCCAGCTCAGGGCCTGGCCTGGGCCGGGGAGACAGAAGGTGGAGTGCTGAGGCAGCTGAAGCCATACAGTCTGGCTCAAGGCCCTCAGGAGCAGAGGAGCCAAAGCCCCGGGAGAGGGCCTCAGATGCAATCTCAGGGATGTCTTGGGACAGGGCAGTAGAAGCTGAGGAGATAACATCAGGGGAGCGAGTCCGGCTGGGAGAGGCCTGGGGCAGCCCCAGAGGTTCCACCTCCTGTAGCTCCAGGGACAATGACGAGGCAGCAGTAGGTACCTGAGGTGAGCCAAAGATGGGGCTTCAATGGTGGGAGGTTGGTGGAGCTCCGAAAAGAGCTGTTGGTGGTGGTGGTGATGAGGAGAAATGCAGGGTGGAAACAGGGCCAGAGCCCAGGACAAATAAGGGTGAGGACTGAAGCAATGCCCTCAGGGAACATGACAGGGACACTGGATGCAGAGCAGCACCAGCAGAATGGGGGCTGTGGGAAGAGACAGCCCCCAGCCTGCCCTGGAGCCTTCACACGCACGTACCTGCACAGGCCCCTTATTTGTCAGCTTGTCGCCTGGGCTTGGGAGCAGGCCTGGCAGGAGACTTCGAGGACTTGCTTGCAGGCTACTGCTGCTTATGGTCAGGCTGCCATCTAGCTGCAGCTTGGGACTCAAGGTCAGCTCCTCAGGTGGTCTGGTGGCAGGAAAGAGTCAGCACTGAGAGCCTGGCATCACCTGGCACTTGCCACTGCCACTCTCCCAACTCTGACCCGACCTCACCTCACCTGGGCAAAGAGGGCTCCATGGCCAAGGTGCTACTCCCAGCGGACACAGCTGTTAGAGAAGAGCTGCTACTACTGCTACTACTGCTGCTACTACCACCGCTGCCGGCAGGTGCAGTAATCTGGGGAGATGGATCATGAGGGCTGGGGTCTGGGTTTCCCTGACCTGGGGCCCATGCCCCTGGCCCTGGCCCAGCATACCTGCTGCAGGGAAGCACTGGGTGTCATGAAGGCATCAGGTGTCATGAGTTTGGGCTTGGGCTCACTGCTCAGACTTAGGAAGTCTGCAGGTGCTGGCAGCTCTACAATGCGGCGCAAGTCGGGCTGTGAGCCGTGAGCAGTGGATCCCAGGCCCTCAGGGCCCAGCTCAGGCTGAGACTCTCCAAATGCTGGGGGGAAAGCTGCCACTTGAGTCGGATCTGAGACCCAGTCACTCACCCTGCTTCCTTCATCTACCTTGCCACTCACCAAAGTCCTCGTGGGCAGTGTGGACGGGGAGTGGGGCTACCACATCAGGGTTCAGCTGAGGCTGGAAGCGAATCTGCACATCTTGCAAGGCCCTGCATGGAGAAAGAGGGAGAAGAGGAGAAGGCAGGGTGGGGAGGGAAACAGGCAGGCGCTGGAGGCCCCTTAGTGCACTCACTTGGTATGCACACAGAAGAGCTTGATGAGCACACCGGCTGCAGACTCCACGGTCCCAACTCCTTGGGCACCATCTGAAAGGACAGCAGGGACCAGTCAGCCCCTGGCACTATGCATCTCGGCACTCCCCCCCACCCCCCAGCACAGCAGCTCACCAGCTCCCAGACCATCGTTTTCTTCCTCTGCAGGAAGCACCTCGGTGTGCCGTAGCCGGCAACGACTCACAACCTGGATGCCAAAGCTCAGCACAGGATGGGTAAGCAGGAACTCAGAGATAGAGCTGAAGCAGGCGTGGCCCTCCTCCTGGTTCTGCAGCAGTTCCATCACATAGAGAACCTGCACAGTCAAGAAAATCCCCAGCTGAGCTCAGAGGCTGCGGGGACCACAGAGAGGCTGCACACACCCTGCCCAACCCAGGGGTCCCTCATCATACCTACCTTCCGTTGCACATCACTGAGAATCAAGTACTCTGCCGAAAGGTCCAAGCAAACCTTAAGGCTCGGGGGCACATTCACTGAACTGAAGATATCTGGGGAGAAGCTGGGGAGCCACCAAGCAGGGTCAAGGGGATGGAGAGGGATGAAAGAACCCACATCCCCAACACTGCCAGTCCTGCCCAGTCACCAGCTCTCGCCTACCGAATGGTCTGCAGGCAAGTCCAGGACACTGTGCACCACATCTTTAGCTCTCGATTCTGGTCAGCACCAGTAATGAGGAACCTCCAGAATGGGACCCTACAAAGCAACAAGGTGCTGGCTGGCTGGCTGGCTGGCTTGGGTACCTGCTGGGAGCCCTTGGTCCAGACCACCCCCTACCTCCCAGGCCCACTTGCCTGCCCATTCACTCACTCAGGGTCCTGCTTCTTGTGATTGTCACAGAACAGGAGGCAGGAAAGGGGCCGTCCATCATGTGGCTTCCACTCATGAAGACACCTAGCATGCAAACATGGGGACCTGAGTGGATGGTCTGGTGCCCTACTTGGGATGGGGGAGGGGGAGTTCCAGTCCTGTAGGGACTACTTTACCTTGGTTCATCCTGCCCTTCAATGTAAATCTGCCAAAACTTGACATAGCCATCATGGCTGGCAGTAGCTAGGACAGTTCCATCAGGAGAGAGGGCCCCTTCACTCAGGCACTAGGAAGAACCCAAAGAGCCTTGCAAAGCCACCAACACTAGCACGCTGTATGAGTGAGTAAGTGACTGAAGGGGCTATGGAGAAGACAAGGCTATGGAGAAGTCAGGTAAGGAGGGAGCTCCACAGGCAGGGCCAACTCTGTGCTCAGAGGACCCCTGGGGAGAGGGCCAGTCAAGTCCCTGGCAGCTGCATGTGTGGGGGGACAGATGAAAGTCTGTCTAGAGGATGAGGGCGGTGAACAAGGAAGACAGTTGGCTGTAGGCTTACTGTGCTGTGGCCTTTCACCACGATGAAGCCCTGTTTGATCTGGCTAGCATCCAGAGGCCAAGTGCTGTGGCTGGAGCGCACCATGTCCAGGTCCCACACCTCAGCCTGCAGAGAAGAAGGAGGTGAGTACTCAGCTGTGCCTGCACCCTGGCTGTCTGCCCCCACCATGCCCAGCTCTGTCACCCGGTCCTCATGAAGCAGGGCCACCGTTGGGCTGCCCTCTTCGCAGCAGTCCTCGCTCTCTTCGGGGATGAAAGGGCACCAGATGATCCTGCGGAAGTGGTTCAGTGGTGTGCCTTCCGGCTGCCGGATGTGGACCAAGATCTCTTCTCTGAGCAAGGTGTTAAGGGTCAGATAGGAGCATGTCTGATAGCCCCAGCTCCCTCTATAGTTCCTCACTATAAGGATACTGAATTTTGCCATTAATTAGAGCCAAGCGCCATACAAACAGGTTGCCTGCCTCATCTAGGCAGGCCAGCTGTGGGGAGTTGAGGTGTGCAAAGGCCAGATCAGCAACACTGCCTGTGAAGCCCTTGAGCAGGGTCCGCTCCGATGTGCTGACACTGATTACTCGTACCATTGCTGAACCATTGTTGGCAGCTGGAACCAGAAGAGTGGTGTTTCATGAGCAAGTCACAAGAGCCAGGCAGCAGCAAAGGCCTGCCTGCCCTTGCCTACCTTATTGCCACTAGCATGCCCTCCAGTTTGGTTTTCCAATCCACCTCCCCCAAGGTCTGGCAGAGAGAGGGGCAGCACAGACAAGCTTTCTTTTGTGTCCCTAAGGGTGGGCTAAGGGTTCCACAAAAGATGGTTCTCAGTGAGCTAAGGGTTCCACAAAAGATGGTGCCTGGGACCTTTTGCAGAAGACCTCCTTCCTCAACCCTGACCCCACTCACCCCGAATGGCATAAGCCAAGAAGGAGTTGGACACAGCAATCAGATTGCCATAATAGTATTTCTGCTCCCAGTCGTACTTGGCTACAGGCTGGATTTTTACCTGAGAACCAAAGGTGGGAAGGTTAAGAGAAACTGAGGGATGGGGTGGCTTTCCCAAAGCCCTGGAGTCCTCAGCAATGCTGGTGTCTGGAAAAGGGTGTGAGCACAGGTGCAAATCCAGTCACCCATTCACCCCACAGCTAATTCGGGCTTCCCAAGACTGGGGCACTGTGTGTTTGTCAAGGTGGTCCTCCTAGGACTGGCAGCACCAGAGGAAGGAAAGTGAGAAACTAGGTGTGCCCCCATCCACCATACATGCCACAACATTCTGATGCCCACCTTGTTGCTTCCCCGTGCTTTGCTGGAAATGCTGGAGTCACTGCTGGCCACAATCTCCACTTCCTTGGCTAAAATTCCAATGCAAGTGGAACTGTCGTCTCCCGAGAGGTAGCTGGAGGGAACAAGAGTACACAAGCCTTGTGTCTTGGGCACCCGAAGCATGGATAGACTTCCTGGTGAAAGATGCTAGTCCCAGATGCCAAATTCTGCCAGGCTCACGGGTCCCCAGATCAGACCTGCAGCCCTCCTTACTCACCTTCCTCCTTGAGAATAAGCAAAGTTACTCTTCCTTTTAAAACCAAGCACCTAAACTGGTCAAGGCCTTTTCCTCACCATCATTAAGTGCTCCATTCCAGGCTACTAGGGGTGGGAAGTGGGCAGCAAAAGCTGCTGGCCTTCTCGGCCCTGATCTGGAGTCTTAAGTTAGAAGTTGCAGCCATCCCCCAGGTAACACTCACATGACCTGCTTCTCCTGCAGGTTAATGGGTGGCATGGCTCGGAGACCAGGCTTGCTTGTTGAGGTACCATCACCTGAGCTGAGGGGGTCTGGAACCAGGAGCCCGTTGAGATCCCCATTGTAGCCGTTGGATGGCCGCTGGTTCTCTGCACTGGAGCCTGAAAGCAGACAGGTTGTCAGACCTGTCCACTGGCCTCTTTTCCTGCAGAGTTTCCTTTAAGAACTGGGAGGTGTTCTCAGAACACTTGCCTAAGAGAGGCATGTTCGTGGGGAAGAGCGTGACCATGGGCCTACTGCTCATTCCTTGTTCCATAAGTCACTATGGACCACGACCGAGGATGAGCATGAGGCTCATCTACTTGGGAGGACGCTCCAGTCCCAGTTAACACTCAGGCCCGACTCAGCATGGGTGGTGTGGTGGGGGGTGGACCTCTGTTCACATAAGGAAGTGCAAAGGAAGGATCAGGAAAACTTCATAGAGGAAGTGCCATTCCGGCCAGAACACATAAACATGGGAGGAGCAGGAGTGGGGATGCAAGGCTGCAGAAGCTCTGGGAATGATACAGGGGTATTCAGACTGTCTCTGTGAACAATGAAAGCTGCAGACGAGTTTTAAACAAGAAAGCGATACAGACAGCTCTAGTGAGCAGGCCAATAGGTCAAAGGCAGCACACTGCAGACCTGAAACTGGGTGAGAGATACCAGGGCCTGAGCCGAGAAGCAGGGGTTGGAGTGGAGAAGATGGGCTACTAAGGCATTGAAGGGCATTGATAAGATATAGGAGTGAGAGAGGAAGGAGTCTGACCCACACAGAATCGGTTTCAAAGATGCCACCTTGGGCAGATAAACTCACCAGGATTGGACACTGTGGGGTGGGGTTCAGAGTTAGGAAAAAACAGCATTTGGTTGTTTGTCATTGCCTATACCTTAGGTACCCTCACAGACTCAGAAACCACTATTAAAACTCCCAGGGGGCAAAGAGACAACAGCTCTACCTTCAGTAACATAGGAAGTTTCTAGCCACAAAACAGAAAGGATCTGATATGATGAAACAGAGCAGACAAGATATAATTGACAAACCCAGTGTCAATCAACAAAGGAGTTATGAGAAGCCTTTAACCCATTTCACTTCATTTAGAGTGCCCTTAGCTGTTCAGGAATAAACAGATAACTCTCTCTCCCAGGCCAGCTATTATGAGGACAAACAGAAGACCTAGGCTGCACAAAGTTAGCTATGACAGGTTCTACCAAATTGTTTCTAAGTCTAGACTGTATAGCAGCTAAACAGCCAGTCCTGCAGGCAGCCTGAAAGCTCAAGTCAAACTGAGGAGGAAAAGGAACACACACCTCAGGCCTGGGGACAAAAGGCCAAGGGTCTCAGGCAGCAGATGAATTTGCTCAGGTAGTGGAAGTGGCTAAACCCACTCAGAGTGAGCACCAGTGTCTATTCCTAGAAGCAATCAGTCTGCACCTCCCAGCAGGCATCAGGATCGGAGAAAGCATTTCTCAGTTTTGGCCACTGCACAGCTGCCACCATCATCAGTCAGTCCTTAACTACAACAACTTTTCACAAGTCCCTGAACCAGCCCAGAAACGTTAGTGCTTATTTCCTCTTTATGGAATGCCTATCACAACATCCCAACAAGATCCACTCTAAAATTGTTTCCTCTCTCAGACCTGCTGTCAGTCAGGGGAAAGCTTGTATTCTCCAGCCCCACCCTCCCATGACAGTACCAAAGCCCCTTTCTTTCAATGACAACAGCGTTATTTCACAAACCTGAGAGCTCATCTGTGTCCTGGGGGATGCTTGCACATGGGGTAGGGGCATTTCTGAGGTATCACTGCCAACCCAAGTGAAGTTTAAATGAAAGGAAACAACTTAGGGTTTGCAGTCATTTGTGGCCTAATCTTATCTGGGCTATGCATCCTGTGATTTGCCTTCATCCCAGAGAGCACAGAACCAGGGACTATCATCTTCCTCCTGGAAATTAGTTCCAGAACAACAGTAAGCCTCGAGTTCTCCTTCCAGAGGAGAAGGATAAGATGTAGGACTAGATTTAAGCCTAGGACTCCGTATACAGAACCCGGATCAAGCCTCTGAACGATGGCGAAAGTGATGGGGCACCTGGCCAGACACAGGAACACTCGCAGAGGGACCCGCCGCGGATTCAGAGACGAGGCCTCACCTTCAGCCTGGGCTGAAGGACAAGCCCAACACCAGAATGGGAAAGGGAAGCACCCGGGGTCTACGACTTTCGCAGTACAAACTCAAGGGTCTACCGCGCTAATCCCGGTCAACCTTCACCAGCCGGGAGAATATAGAACCTAAAGGCCTCGAGAGCGGTTCGGCCAATGCTGCCCTACTGCCCGCCCTCCGAACGTCCACCCCTGTTGTCCCCGCTCACCCCCCGCGGGCCGGTCCAGCTTGAGAATGTCCCGTAGGTGCTGCGTGGCGTCCTCGATGTCGATGCTCGTGCAGGAGGAGGCCATGGATTCCGCAGCGGGCGCTGCGCCCGCGCCGGCTCGTTACCCTACCGCCGTTTGCCGCCCTGCCGCACACCACCGCGCCGAAGATAGACGGCGAGAAACTGGTCACTATACTCAGTGCACTGGCTGTCCGCAAACCGCCGCCCGCACCGCGTCGGAGCCCCGCCAACCCCACTAACCGCCTCCACTTCCGGCCCGTTGAGTCTTTGCTCCGGGAATCTGCGCAGACTGAAGAAGAAAGGTTCCGGGCTTAAGCTGAGACCTAGTCCAGCGCCAGAGCCTGTCTCCTGCGGTGTGGAGTCTATGGGGTCCCAGGAAAGTTACTCAGGTGTGTCCTCTTACTGGCTTCAGATCCCGCCAGATTCATCCCCATTCCCAAAGCACAAACTCTTATTATAGGTTTAGTTGACTGTCTTGGCTTTGGTCTCTATTGAGCAGGCAGGCGGCACGTTTTCCCTGAGGAAATGGGTTGGGGTAAACCAAGGCTTGAGGGGACCCATGAGACCAGGAATTAAGACCAGGAATCACAATGGCACTCGAGATAATGCCAGGATAATGGCCAGTAATTGTCCCCTCTTGCCCCAGCACCCACTGGCAAGAAGAAACAAACCATCATTTACAAACAACATTTTATTGCAGACATTTCAGGCACAGGTACATGGAAGCTGTATTGTAGATTTTATACAGGGTGGTTGAGAGGCAGCAGGCATCTACCTCTCCCGGATCCCCACCCTCTACTACACAGCAGTCTGGAAACCAGTCCCATTGAAATTTCCAGAGTTTGCTATCTTCTCAAACAGCCAGTCCTGTACCCAGTGTAATCAGGTAACCTGTGGGGTCTGAGAAAGTCTTTGTCCTCCATCCAAAGTGGTGGTAGTGGTGGTGCCCTCATTAATACTAAAACTCCCTAGCTAGGGCATTAGCTCAAATCCTGAGGCTGGTTCTTGTCTGCAATTGTCACCTTGCTAGCAGGTTTATACCACACCCAGAGACTTAAGGACAGAGGGACTAGGTTATCCTGGGCAAGGTCTCTGTTCTCAAAATTGAGAGGCAGAAAAGGCCTCAATAGCTAGGACTTCCTGGGACTTGAAGACAAGAGTAAAAGTGTGTATAAGTGAAAATGTGTATATGTAACAAGGGAGGGAATAGCCCTGGAGATGCCCTGCAGGACTTTGAGGGGTTGAGAGTTCAAGGGCATAAAACCCTCAAAACCAGACTCATATTGTCTTCTTCCATAGCTCCAAATCAATATTCTTTAACTGACCTAGCTCTGTGGTTACCGAAGGCTGGCTGTTCTGACCACTCAGCTTCGGGCAATGATATCCTCATGCTTCCGGAGACAGGGCTGTGAAAACAGGCCCCCTTTAACCCACAAACCTCTGCTCATCCTTGATCCTGAACCTGGAAGATCTGGATCTAATGGGATTTTTGCTTAAGTCTCTCCAGCTTCAAAGGGGTTCAGGGTTTACTTTCTTCCTATCAGAGCCTAACTGAGAGACACGTCTGCTGCTACTAGAGCCCTAAATCTCTCCAGGGAAGAAGTCACCAGATGCCAAAACCGACTTGAGCCCTTCTTTGACCACAGCAAAATTCCCCAAGTACAGGTGGTGGTGGTGGTGGGGGAACTCTTGCTTACAGGCTTTCTGAGAGAAGCAAGCTGCTTCAGGAGTTATCTCCTCAAAGCAACAGTTATTACTGAGTTAGGGCAGAGGTGGGAGGGTGAAACATGAGAGAAACAATAGAACACGGTAGTTCTTGATGCCCAGCCAACTATTACACTAATTAAAACAATTTAAACTGTTAAGAAAATTTTCGTGGTTTATTGTATAATGAGGCATTGAAACATCTGAACAAATCAATATCTGGGCGGTGAGGCAGCTGCTTTCTCCTTCACTTCTTTGGGTTACTAGAGCAACTTGTCAGTAGATTTAAAAAAAAAAAAAAAAAA